CTATATGGTCAACAGCAAGAGCTCTTAAAAACAATCTTACTTGAGCATCGGAGGGTCTTAGGCTGGTTCCACACCGGTTCCATAGACCTCACGAGCTTCGCTTATCTTCTATTCAGGATCAGCATCCAAGGACAGGAAGAATCGGCATCCAACACCCAATCGATCTCTTGATCGTCCATCCCACTTGTAAGTTGCACTCATCTCTATCTATTCAAGATTTAGCGCCAACACCTCTCTCTCTCTCTCTCTCTCTCTTCTTTTGGGCCGTGGAGGTGATTGTATCACTGTATATGTTAGAGGCCCATGGGCCACGGGAGCAATTGCTTGCTTGTTCCTGCTTTAAAATTGAAATTTGATATTTTTGTTTAACCTCTTCTGTTAGGAAATACTAAATTACAAAATATGAATAAGAGACTTCTCTCTTCAAGTTCAAGGCTGCTTGCTTTATGCATATATCTTCTTCTCCCAATTATCCGAAAGTTCAATCGACTAGCTATTGTTAGATGTCACAAGTTCGAATTCTCCCTCTCCGTTAATAAAAATAAAAATAAAAATAATAAATTTCAGTTCGGACCAAAATAAATAAATACAACTTAAAGAACCCAAATGAAATATGAAATGAAAACACTAATGCAAATTACAGGGCTTATCAAACTTCAAGCCATAATAATGTGCTGAAATCTTAACCCTCTAAACCTTTACAAACAAAAATTACGATCACTGCAAATTTGCAACAACAAAAAGGACAAAAAATAAATAAATCATAAAACAAAGGAAGCCTAATGATCTCAATACAAACCATAATGAGCTAAAAATCCAAATCTTACAAGTTTACCAACAACAAAAAATGCAATTATCTTCTACTACTTTTTTTAAGTACAAAGAAGATTTTACAAGGCTAAACAGATTTTTTTTAAAACAGACTGCAATATAATACTCTTTAAATATAATAATTTATTTCAGACGTACAGCCGATCGGCTATACTATTAAAATATTCGAATATATTCAAAGGGTATAGCCGCACGGCTATACTGTTTAACCCTTCTACTTCTTCTTTAGTATAATTGCTGTTATAAACAAAAAAAAGCTTCCTAAACACTAAGGAAAATAACCAAACCAAATACAAATATTAGGAAGATTATATCTAAATTTGCTACAGAGCTTTCCAACCATATTTGTTTCTCAAAACTTATGGGCAATTTTGACCATTCAGAAATCTTGAAGAAGGAAATTGATATCTTGGATAATCAATCGTTGAGGAGCATATGCCAACAGGGTATAGTCCCATAGAAAAAGACTTTGATTTGTACACCAATGATCTCAAAGTTGAACCCTCGTGACACCTTAGTAGTGTAATTGTGAGAAAAACCCCCTTTACCTTCCTGACTATGGCAAAAACAAAACAAAACAAAACAAAAAAATCGTTAAGCCCCACTAATATTGAAATTACATTAGTAACCCCAAGTAATATCTAGATATTTAGCCCAATTAATACCCAAATGACTTAATCCTAATTTATACCCAACTAAATAACAACTCTAGTCCTACTTCTTTTTCATTTTGGTGAACCATAGTCGTTCTTCTTGTTGTGCTTACGTATTTCTCTTTTTTTCACCTCTCTCTTTCCCTCTCTCTTCCTCTTTATCTATTCACCTATTTCTCTCTTCTTCACCTCTTCTTATTTTGCTCTTATTCCAAACCCCAAACCGACCAAACCGAACTGGAACCGTATAGGTATGGTTTGATTTAGTTCCTATAGACATTTTGTATAAAAACCAGACTGTATATAACTATCAGTTTTGTTTGTACCATATCTGACCCTCCACTCGTACAACGACACGTGGATCTCATAAACTCGCCCAAGTACCCAAGGCCTCGGACAATCGGCATCGGCCACCGATGGCATTGCCTCAAAGCTGCAAACAACCGATACAGGCCCAGCTCGTCTACAATCGGCACCCCATACCGATTGTACATAATCAGCCTTGAAGCACCCGCCCGAAATATCTAAGGACTCGTGTCAACCTCACAGGGCCCTCCCACGAGTCCCACATCGGAAATGAACACCACAAGCATACTAAATGCCCTCTATAAATACACCCCTTCACCATCAACAAAGGGGTAAGACTTTTCAGCTTGACTTTTATACTTCTATATGATCAACAGCAAGAGCTCTTAAAAACAATCTTACTTGAGCATCGGAGGGTCTTAGGCTGGTTCCACACCGGTTCCATAGACCTCACGAGCTTCGCTTATCTTCTATTCAGGATCAGCATCCAAGGACAGGAAGAATCGGCATCCAACACCCAATCGATCTCTTGATCGTCCATCCCACTTGTAAGTTGCACTCATCTCTATCTATTCAAGATTTAGCGCCAACATCATACATTAGGTGTCTGAATCAAATCCACATGTTTTAGCTACATAGCAGCTCCTTGTTTGTCTGTAGAAATATTATAGTTATAATGAAAACACAGCTCTAGGTTGCTAGGAAATGAAGAACTGAGGCTAAGAAGCTCTAGGATTGCTGTCTTCATTAAGAAGAGATTGAAGTGTTTGGAGACTATAGTCTCAGCTTATTGTTTCAGTTAAGTTTCTATTATGGTTCTAGCTTTGTTCCTCCCATCAATCCAAGCGTCTGAACTTCCTTGGTATTGAACATTTCTATTTGAACTTTGTGATATGAAAGCCTTGTTTAATACCCCAATTCAGATATGTTTGCCTTCATTTGATTGTTAAAGGAACTCGAACATTGAATAGCATCTGAACTTGTGGTTGATTCATACCATCTAAATTACAGTGTTTGTGCCTTCTTTTGAAGGAGTCAAGACCTTTGGACAGTTGGTAATAAGACCCATGCGACCACTGTGGGGATATGGCCTCATTGGAAACCCTAATGAGGATTATATAGAAGTTGTCTCATTGATATTGTTTCTCTAATTCTGACTATGAATTGTTTCTCAGCCCTTGAATTGTTTAGTTTCGTTTTGTGTACTCTTTTCAGTCTCATCTTCAAATATTGTATAGTTGTGATCCTCGTACTCATTAGTGGCCATATATAGTTACTTACTGAGCTTTGTAGCCCACCCTTTCCTCTTCCATTTCAAATTAGCTTGGAATAGAAGATTGGTTCATTTGTGATGTATTGCTGCACTAATGAAGATGTGTTTGATTTGGGAGACTTTAGATTATAATGTTGTACTATTGGATACACTATGTGGAAATGGAAGTGTATATGTTTAGTTTTGGTTACCTCGTAGATCCTGGTAGTTCAAATTGAGCAATGTAATGAGATAAATCTAAATTGTTCTTTTAGTTAATTTGGTGTGAATTTGGGGTGTGACATAAATAATCAACACCTTGAATTTCAGATAAATTCATTATCATCTGGTAAAGGTTATCCAAAAGCACAATATCTCTTTATCCTCTTCCACAAAATAGTGTTTATCGGCTACTGGCCATGCATTTCTAAATATGTTGTTTGCCCTAGGAGAAGAAATAGGACCAGGAACACTTGTGTGAACAGTATTCTGGCATCTCCTCTGTTGGATCAAATTGGCACGGAAGTTTGCTTAAGACCAAGTAACATGCCCTAGACTGATCCAACTATTTTGTTTAATAGGTGTGCCTCTATTAGAGCAAGTCCAGCAGTGGGGTTTGGACTGAGGCAAGGGGGGGTTTGGAAGAAAAAGGGCCTCCAGCAGTGGGGTTTGGCCCGAGTTGGTGGTGGGGTCTACAAAGTCGGGCTGGCCCGAGGGCAGGTCCAGCCCCAGGTCCAAAACTCGGGGGAGCTGACGTCATCGATGACGTCAGCAACAAAAACAAGTAAAAAAAATCGAAAAAAAACAAAAAAATTCAGATTTTTAAAAAATAAATACTTAGTCATATTTTTCACTTCCCACACCAAAAATCTTTTCAAAACATATTGTCCAAATTAATTGTTTAGGTAAACAAATATGTGAAAAAAAACAAAAAAATGAATTGTATTTGCCCTAAACTAGGGCAACTGTTGGAAACCAACATTGCTTTTTGCAAGGGCAGCCACTATTCACATGAATAGTGGCTGCCCTAGCACCCCCTCTTGCCATGGCTAAGGGCAACTGGTGGAATTGCTCTTAGAACTTGGCTAAGCCCAATAGAAAATATGATTGAGTAATTAATTATCAGGCTTTAATGATTTGCGCATAAATATCTGAACTTCTAATCAAGCCATTGTGCTTTGAGTGGGGAACTGGACTAAATTAGTTCTTTTTAATGCCTTGTATGACTAAGGACTTCAAAATTCTACTTGTACGCGCTGGTTCACGGGAGTTCCTTAAGGTTTTGCCCTAGATCGGGCTAAAAACATCAAGATAGGGCTAAGAAACACTAGATCAGAGTAAAAAAAGTTGATACATTGTATCTAAATTGGAAATTTTCTCCATAACCCAAAAAAGACAAAAAAAGATTATAAACAGCTTCCGCAAAAAGTAACCAGTCATGATACTAAAAGACTCCCATCAATTTGTACCATGTGAATGATTGAGGGTTTTGAGAACTTTGTCGTTGCTTGAACTATAATCAGCTTAGTTGAACAACGCTTTGTTACTTTCTAATTAACCAATCCAAACGCAAACAATAGCATTCAGTGCCTTTCTTGACCTCTTTAATTTTTTTTGGTCGAATCTCTCCCTAATTAAATTGTGGAAAACCTTAGAACTTTAGGGATTATGCAGGTTGGGATTTTTGTTTTGTTCTCCTTTTAACTTATGTCTTCGTGTTTTGTTGTGTTTTGTGGATAAAATTGACTTGAAAAAGGAAATATTGAATAATAAGAATCACAGCAGATTGCATTTAGGCGGAAGAATTCAACCAACTAAACTATACCCCATCAACGATTACTAACCATTAATACGGTAACCAAAATTTAAAAGGGTGGTGCTAGAGGCACCAACTTGCTCACCAACTCTAATACAAGGTAAGTAGCATTAATCTCACATGTGCCAGAACAAATTACAAATCAATTCTTAGAGGACATGTCGCTGATCTTGTGATGAAGAGTCTATCTATGCTGATTTTGAGGGATCGACTGATTTCATGGGATTAGCTGTGGTGGTATTTTCTTTAATTGGGAAAGGTGAGTTTACACACAAATATTAATTGGGCGTCTGGGAGTTTCGAAAAATCTATCCATAATAGTGAAGGCGGAAGAATTCAACCAACTAAACTATACCCCATCAACGATTACTAACCATTAATACGGTAACCAAAATTTAAAAGGGTGGTGCTAGAGGCACCAACTTGCTCACCAACTCTCTAATAGAGGGGGAGCCCGCCAATACAACGGGTCCCAAGCTCTATTAGAGAGTTGGTGAGCAAGTTGGTGCCTCTAGCATTTTCCAATTTAAAAAGGCATCCGCCACCGAATTAGCTCCCCTAAACATATGCCGCAAAGTATAAAGTATCTGCTACAAGTTGTCGAATATCCCAAACTGCAGAAATAAGTCGCTGAGGAGGGGGAAGCTTTTTTGGCACTTATGTTTTGGGTATGTGCAGTGCACTCCCAAAGTGGTAAAAAAAAGGAGTGTTAGAATAATATTTCAACAAATTACACCTACAACAACTTGTATTTTCTTTTATGTTTATTTTTTTTTGGGGCACTGTGGGCTTTTTATGGATGGGTTTTCTTCAGCCCCTTTTAGTAAAAATCTTCCACTCTAGTGTCTGAACACAGGATGCTTTTTTTCCTTTTCATATGACCGCCTAACAACTCATTCATTCTTTTGAAAGATTCTGTGCTTTTCTCAATTTTCCCCGAAAAAGTAAACCATCTATATATTATCACAAAAGCTGAGAAGGGACTTTGCTAATAGTAACCTGCTTTGCAAAACAAATACATAAATAAAATAGCAGTGCCAATTAAAATTCACGATATTTTACATAAGCGATAGTTTAAATAACTCTAAATTAATATAATCTACGGAAAAGGGGGATTCGTAATTGAATGTAAGGGGGTATGCTCATTCGTAATTATGCAAACTTGTACTTGAAATAAAATTAAAAAGTGTGTGAAAATAGAAATGGATTGAAACAGCGCTACTATATACTTTAAACAAGACGTGCAAATCCAAAATAGGCTTTAAAGAAAGAGAAAGGCTTTCCCCTAGATGTAGCAACACAATTTGGAAATGAAAATAAAAAAACATTTGGAGGCACAATTTATTACTCTCTATGCTATGAAATCTCTTATTTTTAATGCAGTTAATTACTCTTGTCTAACTGAAAATGTAAAATTAATTCCATAAAACAAAAATTAATGAGAATAATAGTGATGTCACGTACCTAAAAAGATAATCGAAAGCGAAAGCAAAATCTTGTAGTGGAAATTGGAATAATTACCAACTTTATCGATCCAACAATTAGACTCGGATACATACGATATTCTACTCTAATCTAATCTAAACTACGGGAAAAAACCATAAATCAAAAGCACAGCAATGAAAGAGAAAACAAGAAACCAAAACTATTTTCCTTATAACGAAGCAAAAAAAAAAAAAAAAAAGGAAATTAGTGTTTTCTGTAATTAAATGGGCAAAGATCTATTCATTTTCCAGCCATGTAATTAAAATTTTATGTTTTTATGACCCAAAATTTTGTTAATTAATTAAGAATATATAGAGATTAGAGATATATAGATATATAGATATTTGTTGGAAGTGGCCAACCTGAGATGAGATCTGAGAAACGAGCAAAAGCGAAAAACGCGAGATCCATGAACCACGAAACAACCCAACCCCCCTCTTCACCGCGGTCTCCGATTCAGTTGATGCAAGGCGGGACCCATTTCGCACCACCGACCAATACCATGGCGCCACCTGGCTCATAGGTGTTGTATGGAAAAAAAAAAGCCGTAAACGCGAAGCAGTTCCCGACCTGCACCAAGCGAATTAGAGACCGCCAGTAACTGAATCAACGCCCACAACACAAGCCTCCCTCTCAGAGCAAAAGCAAAGAAGCAAAGCAAAATACGTCTGTTTTGAGGTTGTTTTTTTTATTTTTATAGATGGCCCCTTTAATCTAACCCTATGAAATCTATGACAACAGCTGGGATGGCTTTCATTTATACCCGCCACAGACCAGTTACGTTGCGACGCGTGGGCTGCCACCGGCTCTTCTGGGCTAACGCCACAGCTAATTCTAACCTGAAACAGCGGCCCACGCTCAGGAAATTATGTTTAGTTTGCGCGTCTGGTGTGGTGGGGGTTGGAATGGCCCTTGGGGATATCGGTTAATTACGGGTGTGCCATCTGAGTTTGGGCTCGCTCTCAGCATAACAGTGGATGCACGTGCGCGTGTGATGCTTGCTGCAACGTGGTCTGGGAGTGCTGACAGACTCGCCGATTTGGGATCTAGTGGGCAGATTTTTGTTGACTGTGGTTTCTCGTTTCGGCACTTTTCAGGACGCCCAATCAGGTCTGGCCACATCGCTAAAATTGTATGGTTCGATGGTGGGCACTTTTGGAAACTGTGTGGCATGTGGTTAATTCCTCATATATTTTGTATGCGCATAAATTGGTAATGAACTGTGGATTTTCTACCTCAATTACATGCTCTTGCTTTCAATGAAAAATAAATAAATTACACTGTTCTTGGTCAAATATTATAAATAAATAAAAACACCTTTTAAGCAAAAGTAGAAATGAAAAAGGAAAAGGAGAGAGGGAAGTTAAATATCTAAAGTGGAGATTTTCAGTGAACTTTCTGTTTGTGGTAGACTCGGAATCAAATTTCAAATTGAAAAACTTGATTTAGGCAATGATGCTTCTTGTTCTTTTTGTTAGAATGACAATGAATCTCGAAATTGTGGGTTTATTCGCGGCATGTTTGCCCGCGAGGTTTGGAGATGCATTTCTAATTGTCCAAACCCATTGGTTATTATCGTTTTCTTAATTGGTTGTATAGTCGGATTTATGAACATCTTTCACGGTATGACACGCGAATAGAATTATTTAAAGTACTTCTCTTATGTTCT